CCTAGGTTTAAACCTTTATCCTTTGGCACACAAAGCATGGTCTCTCTACCATCAGTCCATCAGTGTCAGCCTTGTCTACTCAGACTGGCAGTAGTTCTCCAAGGTTTTATGTAGTGGATTTTGCCCATGCCATACTTTGTTTCTGAGCCGTCGGACCTGGGGGCAGGGGGAAGGATGTAGGAGGGCTGCTTTTGTTTATAATGCAAAAGCATATTACCTCTTTCTAACAACATGTGTCCATGCAAGATGTATATATGTCCACTGTCATTTGTGAAACGGGCTTCTGTTTCCCTGGATGGTGAGCAGGAAGAGAGGGAAATGACAACAGATATGTTCTTGATATGTACACAATCCAGCCAGAACACTTAACACTTTACTCATGTTTGTGCTGCACAGCATTATCCTGGTTGGGAAGAGACATATGACAGTGTATTTAAATTTTAATTTTGAAAGAAGGTTACTTCAGAGGGACAGGTGTAGTTTGGTGCAGTGTGCTGGAAGTGAACATCATCAGAAAGGGTGGTGCTTGGGAAGTGACATCACCTGCCGTTTGACCTGGAAGTGACATCACAGGAAGTGACATCACAGGAAGTGACATCACAAAAGTCTCTTGGCTCCACCCCCAAAGTCCTCAGATATTTCCGAAGTTGGACTTGGCAACCCTAATTGTGGTGCATTTGTGCACCTCTTAGGGTTTCCCTGGCTTTTCTCCCATCTTTAGTAAACCTGGTTTGCTCCAAAGTTTTGGGAAAGATCATGGTAAAACACGGAAATACTGCTCACCCTAAGTGCCTGCAGTTAAAAAGTAAACCTCACATAACTGTGAGTTAAGTTGCCAATGCTGTTCTCTTAGATTCTTTTGTCTTCCTTGTTCTTTCCTCTATTCACTTTCTATTGTGTAGTGGGTTGCCGCATGTATGGATGACAGAGACTGGCGTAGTGCATAGCATGCTTTATTAAGTACACATCAAGAACAAGGAGCAATGGCCGGCAGGCCAACTATATACACAACCAGGGGACACACCCCTGGGTCCCATTGGCAGGTTTGAATCTCCCGCCACAGTCCCATTGGTTCCCCCAGTGGAGGGACTAGGATCCTAGTCCCTATTGTTATGCCGGACTCAAGCTCAGGAGTGTGCGCTGGCCTCTGGTGGCGGTCAGCGGACACAACACTTTCCTATTTGTTCTCCTTATTATAAATCCATACTTCTGTCTTGTTATCTTTCATACATAGCTATAGTTCTTTGATCCCAAATTGTTAACTTGTTGCCCCTTTTTGGCCACATCCACTTGTAATGACTAAGTTGAAGTAGCTGTATTGTTTAATAGTAGAAGCTCTTGAGTATATCTAATGTCTAAAATACTGTCCATGTTGCTGATTCAATGAACTGGAAAATTTAAAAAACAGTTTTCTTTGCTAGATACCTAGAATTAGCACTGAATCAGATCAAGATGCTCATTCTGTCTTTGCAGAAAGACACTGATCACTTTTGTTTGGCCATATAGCTGATTAATCTCTTTATTTTAGGTAATAATAATAGAGCCGTACTACGACTGTTATGTGGACATGGTGAAGATGGCAGGTGCAAAACCTGTCTGTATACCTTTGAGATATGTGAGTATTTTTGATTTTTGAAATTTGGAATTTTTTTACAGAGTACCTTATATTCATCGGGACTGTACACACACACGCAACAGAAAGGTGGCCCTGTGTTATATAAAGGCTATGCTAAAATAAATGTTATTAGTCTTTGCTAGTCGCCACTGTACTTCTGTTTTATTCATTGGGAACAGTGATTGTGAAGCTGCTCTGTTAGGCCTAAACTATATTTGACAATGTCTACTGGTTGGACTTGTGGCTGCCACCATTTTAAAGCAATTTAAAAACACCGTGAGGGCCCAATATTGATTGTGCCTGCAGCATGGCAGGCAGAGGTGGTCTCTCCCCCCCCCCCATTGCCTTTTCAGGTGTTGAGATGGCATCTCCCCTGGTGTCGTGAGCGGCGACAATGGCGCTGAGTCCTCACCCGAGTTGGCATCGCAGCCAGAGGCGCTGGCATTGCCAGAATCAGAAGCCGACCCCTCTGACTCCTCACAAGTTGAAAGCTTGCCTGAGCCTGTAAACCCCGCACCTGGTCCTGCAGCAGCCAAAGAGGCACAGGTGCAATTGGGGAGCTCGCCTGACTCACTTCTGTGGGTGGTTCAGCTAAGGGAGCAGCTCCGCAGAAACTTAGCCACCCGCTGTTGAGATGCACGCTGGCAGGGAAGGTGAGGGCCAAGTCCTGAGTATTAGCAGGAGTGCCGCCGCCACCATGGGAAGCCCAGCTGGAGGCCTATATAACTCTCACTCAGGATTGGGCTCTTGTGGAAGCAACAAGTTGCCTCCGTGCGTGCCTCACATCCACCTTCGGCTCCTGTCCTCATACCCCCACTCTGGCTCGGATTCCTGACCCCTGCTTCAGACAACCCCGCTTTTAGATGCATGATTTGGCTCTCGCTCTAACTCTCCTGGCAACGACCTCGGACTGGACTTAACATCTGCCTCTTAGCCCAAGCCCAGCCCGTGACACCCGGCAGTGATTTTAGCACCTGAAAGGACGGTGGGGGTCTCCTGTGCACCGATCAAGATCAGGCCCTCATGGCATCTTGAAAGGGCTTTAAAATGGCAGCAATATTCCACAGGTCAGACCTGTGGGTGCTGTCACGTTTGATTTGGTCTACTTATATATTACTAGCTTCCAGTTCTTATAATCCAAGTCATAGTGATAGCGTACATTTTTTTTAAAAGGCTGGATGAAAAGGTTAAAGAAAATAAGTTTTTAAAGCAAACTGTAAGTTTGTTTTCTGGTAGAAAATGTACTAAATACCGGGATTACATCTTCATCCTTCAGTCCCATCCTCTAGCGCCCAGTCTCAATGACTAGTAGTATGTTAATAGTGCCCCTTTGCCATAGTATCAAGAGTGGTAAGGGAAGGATTTAAATGCATGTAGCCTTAATGATGCAAGGAAACGGCTTGCCTGTGTTCCTGGAAAAGAAGGGAATCTGGACGGGAAGCAAAAACGGCATTGAAGCACATTGTGCAAGAAATTCTGATGTGGTTGTTGCTGTGGATGACTCCTAATTCTGTACAATTTGTTTGCGGTGTTTTTTTTACCTGATCTGGTGTAGATATGGAGGAGGACATTGACTCAGGAGCTTTATCACTCAGAAGTTCCAACAAATGACATGAATGGTTGTCTTGGTGGTTGGAGTCTGATGAGATTTTTGTGCAGCTTTTGAGCTATATTACATCTAATGTTGAGGATCCATGAAATTTAGAAAAACAGCAGTGGGGGCCCCCAGTGTGGTTTGGGGATGCAATACTGAAATAAGGAGAGGGATTTATATTACCTCACCACTTGCTGTTTTCCCATTTAAAAATGCCTCTTGTCTCCTGTCTACTTTAAGCCTGGTGGGGAAAAAAGATGAGTATGTGTCTTTGCCCTGTTGGGCCTTAAAATAATGTGGGTGTGGGTGTGCATTTTTTTGATTATAGCAGTGGCATCAGGTGAAGGAGAGTTAAATTCTTCCCCCCAACACACATATTCTCCTAGGACCCTGGCCGACAGCCATATTCCCCTTCCCCACCCATACATACCAATGGCTGGTTTTTTGCTTTTAATCATGTGTAGGTTGGCCCAGTTCCTGTATTGTGTATAATACAATTGCTTTCTTTGCAAGCCTAGCAGTAGTAATATGGAACGTGTAAGGAAAGTGTATGGGGAGGGAAGGCGGCATGGTATAGCCTGATCTCATCAGGTCTCAGAAGCTAAGTGGGGTCAGCACTTGTAAGGGAGACCTCCCAGGAAGACTCTGCAGAGGAAGGCCATGGCCAAACCACCCCTGCGTCTCCCTGGCCTTGAAAGCCCCTTGCTGGGGTCACCATAAGTTGGCTGTGACTTGACAGCACTTTACATGCACATAAGGAAAGTATATACAGCTCAGTGAAATATATATTTTTATGTCCTAGAAACCTGCAGCTGGAGGAGATGTTGCCTCTAGTGCTGACTGGGTGTTGGATCCTGCTGGACTTGCGAGTAAATTTAATCCCAAGACAAAAGCTATTGTACTGAATACCCCTCACAATCCTATAGGAAAGGTGAGAGTCCTGTTTTTTCAGCCTGGTAGTTAAATATAATAACAATATTGCCCCTGAATGCATTGCTTAGTACACTGTTTCGCTTTTCTTTTTTTTTTTTTTAACAAGGTCTATACAAAAGAAGAGCTCCAGAAAATTGCTGATCTCTGTATTAAGCATGACATCTTGTGCATCAGTGATGAGGTGTATGAGTGGCTGGTATATACTGGAAAGAAGCACATTAAAATCGGTATCAAGAACTTGAAGTTGTATGGATGCTGGTTCATGGGAAAACTTAAACATATAATTCATAAATTATTCTACAAATGAAACATTTTCTCTCTCCTTAACGTGATTTTTTTTTAAAAAAGAAATGTATTAGTTTATTACTTTTCCTATTAAATTGCTTGTTTCAAATATAGAGCATTGTGTATTTTGCTCATGAAGTAAGAAGTGGCAGTGTGGTAATATTAGGTCTGCCATAATTTGAGCACATGAAATGAAATAATATGAACGAAGGCAGACTGAAATTGAAATGTTCCCATGCAGAAGGCATATCGCTCCAGGCTCAGGAAGTAGCATTGTACCTCATGGTATTAAGAATGTCAGTTGGCGCAAAATTTAATGAAACATCATTGTGAAGAATCAAGTCCCCAACAATATTAAATGAATTCAAGATTTATTGACAGCTAACTGTTTTTAACTGCTACACCTTAAGGGAACATTGTGGGGCTAATAGCTTTTCCAGGCATAAATTGGATCTCGTGAGGGATTTCTGCAGACGAAACAGGTGTTTTCCCCCCTCTTGTTCCACCCTCCCTCCCCTGCTGCAGACCGCTGGCTCCCACAAGAGCAGCACTGGAGGGAGATTTGGGGCTGCAGTCGGGGAGAGAGGTCCTGTTCTGTAGATGAGAATTCATTCAGTCCACAGAAATCCCTGGTGGATTCAAGCCAGTGAATCTCGGCAACTGCACACTGCTGACCAGACTTCTCTCTGGATCTGGACAAACTTTCATTGCTAAACAGAGGCAGTGCATCAAAGGAAGTTCCATCCAGGTCAGGAGGGGTGTTGGCAACAGGAAGCAGAGCGCACTGAAATGCATGTTCATGTGTGAAGCTTCTAGGATTGTGGGGGTTCTGCTGTAGCACAACTCTGAAATTGGTGGTGGGATCTCCAGAAACCCCAGTGCTTTTTTGTGCTGCCCAAGGCTCTTGTTAGAATCATGATCGTCTCATGTTGCAGTTAAAATGAATATATCTTGCTTGCATAGTTGCAAGAGAGAAATTTAATTTTTTTTAAACAGCGTAGCAAGTTGTTCTTTCATATGTGTTTAGTTCATGTTTCCTGCTGCATTTCATTAGATGGAAATAATTTTGATTGTTAAACCAATCCAGTAAACTTCTTGCAGTCACTTCTGTTTTGTGGAAGTGTGTAATTATCTCCCACTCCCAATCATTTAAGAAAGATGACAATCATTAGTGAACACAGAATGGATCCCTTTATAAATACCCAAACAGGCTGCATTTCTCCAGTCTGGCATCACCCACATTTTGACAAGTGTTGTGTTCTAGCCTATAAACACTTGTCTGCTCTAATGTACTACTACAACTATATCAATAAAAACATGTTGTTTTATAAAATTAACAACTTCAGAAAAGCTTGCTGTGAATCATATAGAACAGGTTTCATTTAGAAGTATATGACTTTATTAAAATCAGTTACTCTAAGCACCCTGACTGGCTGCATTCTAAATGCTGATTCTTTTTAGGCATCTTGACATGTCATTTTATTTTGATTGTGTCACAGGCCTAGCTGTTGCAGGCATTTCATTCAGTTATATGATAAATGTTTATATGTATATATGAACACTTTGGATGCCGTAATATATCACTGTCCTCTGACAGATCTTGGAGAAAATAGAAAATGTTGTTTCAATTGTATCCTTGTTTTTTTCCACTTGGGATAAATATATTCCTGATGGATATAAAGCATTTTATCATACCACAGCAAATTTGCCTCAAATAAGTCAATGCTGCTGAGTCAGAGGCTGTAATCCTAAAGACACACCTGGGAGTAACATGGAACGTACTTCTGAGTAGACATGCTTAGGATTGTTCCCAATACCAAGACTGTTAGCCAGAAGTGCTTGTTTGCTTATGTACTCGTAACCTCCAAACCATAGACCTACATGCAAATAGTAGTGATGTCATAAACTAAGCAGAGCTACTGTTCCTAAAGAAACCTTCAGTTCTGTAGATTTATGTGAGGAGCAGAACACAGATCCTGCCCCTCCCCAAGAGAGAGATGTTGTCATATTAAGCTCCACGTTTCCCATCAGCTATAGTGACACATCTCTCATGGTGAAAAATGCAAAATGAATATTTATCAACCTACAGCATCTTGTGGTAGTTCTCTAATACCTGTCTAGTGAGATTGCCAGTGATCATAAAATGAGCATAGCTTTTCTGCTGTTGCCTAGGTGGTTTCCTCTAGCGTAGAATACTTCATCATGTCTCTTATCTGGCTTGTGAACAAGCGGGAGCTTCACATGAGTAATGATTAGAGTTCCATTGACAGATTTAGAGCTTGCACATTGCAAGTGAGTATTCTCCTGCCATCTCAAGTACAGATAGTGCCAATTTGGCTAATATGTGTATATGGTGCCTTACTAATAGTTCTTGGTGCCTGTTCAGTTATAAAAAATACACTTAGTCCCAGTAAAGCTTCATGTAAAGTCTTGTCACATGGCAATGCTAATCTTTGTTTTAACTGTGCTGGGCTTCCAGTATGAAATCAGTAGACTGCCTTATGCTCACTGACTGTCCCTACAGTGGTTTAAATTGCTCCCTCTTTTTGTCCCTCAAATTTAAATTCCCTCTGTGTGGCAAAATATGTGCTACCAAATTTGCAATTAATTTCCCATACCGGACCTGTAAAAATGGAATTGAGAGTTTTTTGGCATGTGGAAGTATTTGCCCCACAAGTAGACTATCAAGTCGTTTTTGCTTTTCATTTAATACACGCCTCTGCAATCTGTGGAGTAGGATGGCTTGCAACACTGAGCCATAGAGATACACATGGGCCACACAGGGATGTTGGTGGAAATGGAAAGTATCTTCTGTTCTCCATCACATGGAGCAACAGTTTACCTTACATCCTGTTATAACATGCTGTGTTCTTACAGCTGGAAACTACTGGTGTTGTGTGTAAGGGTGTGCAACCCCCCCCCCCCAGTATTTTCCATATTCGGGTATATTGAACCTGAAAAATATTGGTATTTCCTGATATTCCCAAATGCCAATATCGATTTGGATTTGGTCAATATTTGGGAAACCCATTTTTTTTCCTGGCTCCATTATAGTCAATGGTCCCCATAAGGTATAATGGAGAGTTGATCAGGGGGTATCTGGGGATCTAGAGGGGGGCTGTAGAGGCACCAAATTTGCAGTATAGCTGCTGGTGCTTCTACCTCAAACCCCCCCCCCCATTTCAAAAAGATTGGACCAGGGAGCCAATTCTATGGGCTCCAGAAGAAGGTGTCCCCATCCTCCATTGTTTCCAATGTAGGAAAAAGGCATTCAAAGGGATCACAGTCCCTTTAAATGCCTTCTCCAAGCCATGCAACTCTGCAGTGAGTGAACTTCGAAGGCATTTAAAAGGCTCGCAGTCCCTTTAAACACCTCCAAGCAGCGAGTTCATCCAGAAGGCATTTAAAGGGACAGTGAGCCCTTTAAACACCTTCAGAGTTCACTTGCCACAGAGTTGGGCAGCTTGGAGAAGGCATTTAAAGGGACTGTGATCCCTCTAAATGTCCTTTAAGTTTGGCTATCTGGTGGTCCTGAAAATCCTGAATATTTTGAGGATTTTAAGGATAACCAAAATACAGCCCCAATTTAAAATGCCAGATGCACACTCCTAGTTGTGAGGGAGGACTGGCAAAAAAGCACAATGTGACCTTGTTACAATAGTAACTGTTACTGCATATTATGTGAGAGAGGGAGAATATTTGATAATGTGTGTCTGTGTTACGTGTCATCGCTTCCAATTTATGGCAGGAATAACTGATCTCCAGAACATCATATCATTAACAGTCTTGCTCAAGTCTTGCAAACTGACGGCTTTATTGATTCAATCAATCTAATTATTAGTCTTCCTCTTTTCCTACTTCCTTCAGCTTTTCCTAGTATTATTGTCTTTTCCAGGGATTCTTGGGGTGCTGTTTTTGGTTAAATTCTTGTATCATCTACGACAAAACAGTCAGAGCCTAATTGCACTGCAAGGAATAACTGCTGTAATTTTCTTGTGACTGTTGCACTTGTATATGGGTTTTAGAGAACACAAGGGGGGGCCGCGATACTCGCAGGGGGCTCTCTCTTCCCCCCTTCTCTCTCTTCCCCCTCAGTCTCTCTCTCTCTCTCTGTCCCCCCTTCTCTTTCTCCCCCCCAGTCTCTCTCTCTCTCTCCCCCCCAGGCTCTCTCTCTCCCCGTTCTCTTTCTTCGCCCCCCAGTCTCCCCCCTTCTCTCTCTCCCCCCTTCTCTCTCTCCCCCTTCTCTCTCTCCCCCCCAGTCTCTCTCTCTCTCTCCCCTTCTCTCTCTGCCCCAAAGGCGCATGTGGCCGCCGGGCGCCCGGCCTGGCTCGGCTCTCTTGCCTCGCAGCGCCTCCCGATCCCGTCCCAAGGCTCGGCTCTGCTCCGCCCCGGGGAGGGGCGCGGGGAGCGAGGGGGCAGGCCGGCCGGCCGGCTTCCCAGGCGGCGGCTCCTTCTGTCGCGCCCGCCCAGCCTCCTCGCCACCGTCTCCTCCTGCTGCTGCTGCTGGCGCGCTCGCCTGCCTCTTCCTCTGCCCGCCCGCCGCGCGCCATGGCCCTCCACCTCTACGCCGCACTCCCCGCCGTGGCCCGCGCCGCCTGGGG